TTGAAGGCTGTTAAGTGTCCTTTGTGTGAGGATAGCCTGGGCGCCATCATATTCACGTTAGAGGCCTGTAGGCACTGTCAGGAGCTGGGAGATGGACAATCTGCACGTTGCTTTAAGGTGACAAACACGACGCCTCGTTAAAGCAGCTGGCAGGTGGTTTGAGTGGTAAATCAAAAAGAAAATGACATCTTTATTTTTAGCTTACTTCACGTAAAAATGCGGCAATTTTATCCGACAGAAACTTCCGAGTGACTAGCCAGGACCAGCCCGTGCTGCGCATCTAACTTACCCGCCGCTTCCCTAACCATGACGAACATCACACAAACCTTCATTACGCTTAAATAACCAGGATTAAAACAAGTTCAGTCGGTTAATGTGACAGTGAAGTAGCAGATTTGACGTTAAGAGTAACTGAAATGTTAGACCGGGTTTTTGTGCCGAGCAGGCCGTGATTTCACCGAAGGAAAACGTGAAGGCCAGCTGGTAACGATAACGTACTGATTTACAACACAAGCCGGTGGAATAAAAACAAAATGGCAGCCACAGATAAGACGTTACTTACTGGGATATGCTTACTCATTGAAGATTGTAGCTTAATCATACAGCCGGTCCCCAGAAAAAGGTAAAAATATGAAACGGCTCTCCACCATACAGTCTGGCGATGTTCCTCCAAGCGGAGCCGAAGTCTCCTGATCTGCTGCGACGACGCCGTCAGGCTCGAGACAAAGACGAGACCGACTTCCTGTCAGAACTTTCAAAATAAAACACATCTTTGTCGATTAAACATTTCCATCCAGTGAAGTCTGCAACCTCTCCTAAAAATCACTGCAATACTGCCTTTGGTATTGCTGTCACCACCAATATAACTACTACCAACGGTGTAAAGTTACTAAGAATATTTACTCAATTACTTTAGTACAATTTAAAGTACTTGTACTTAACTTGAGCACTTACTTAAAGGTCCAGTGTGTAAGATTTAGGGGGGGTATATTGGCAGAAATGAAATACAATTAGGGCTGTAAAGCGATTAAAAACATACATTTTACATCTTGAATTTTACAGGACATTTCTGACTTATGTGAAAACGCTAAAACTGTGTTTCAATGTTTCATAGTTGATTGTTACGTAGAGCAAATTACAATGTAGATTGACTATACACAACTGTGACTGATGTATACATCTATTTGTATGAATAATAACGTATATTATAATTTTAGTTTTTTGTTGTTGTTGTTGTTGTTGTTGGTGGTGGTTTTTTGCGAGGGGTGGGTACAAATCGACAACACACAAGTTTCTGCAAAGTTTCCACTCTAGATGTATTGCAGCTGTTATGCTGTTGAAAACAAGGAAAATAAAAATCTAAAAAAATCTAAATTAATTGTATGTTCTGTGATTATTTAATCTAATTTAATTGCATACATCAGTTTTTGCAATGAAATTATTTAAAAATGCCAATTCAAATTAATTTTGGCAGATGTGTTGTTTTGGAACAATTGTCTCTCTGTCTTCTACCACTGTGATTGGTCTGCAGTCCATTGCCATCCGTTTTGCAAGGGAGTTAGTTGGTCAGTCACAGGTGCTTAGTTTGCGTGTGAACGCCTGGTCAAGTCTGGCTCGATGAGGCTGACTGCTAACGCTAGCATAAGAGGCTTTGCTAGCTCGGACCTCTGGATTTGCTGCTAAATGCTTTGTGTTGAGCTGATATTTCAGGCTTTAAGTACTCCGATGGTACGAACATTTCTTACTGCAGAAATTGCAGAGAACAGTGCTCCTATCAACAGTTCCATTTAGGTGTTTTTTAAATGTAAATGTTCCATTCAGGGGGCCGAGCAGCGTCATCTCTTCTGCCTCCATCAGGTGATAAAGCCACTGTGGCCGTCAATGATGCACTGGGTCAAAGGGTACCACAGGACGCAATTAATCTGTATTATTTTTTAGTGATTAATGTCAGAGTAAGCAGTTTATATCTATGTAGGGAGCAGATCCTTGACTATGGAGATCGCCATGTTGCGCCACCGTGTTTCTACAGTAGCCCAGGATGGACAAACCAAACACTGGCTCTAGGTGGGGCCATTCCCATTTTCACGGTTTCACGTTTTCATGTTGGGCACCATAGTTAGAAGCCCCTCTGCACGGAGCAGCATTGGAAAAACACAGATTTTTTAAACATAAAACTGCTTTATCAAGTGTTTTTACTAAGTTAAATCACCTGGTCTGATTGTTTTGGAGAGGAAGAGACCTCTGTGGATCATTCGTCTCCCGCTAAAAACCTCCTGAACAACGAACACGAATTCTAACCAGGATAAGTTTTAGCTGATTGCAGTCTGCAGTCTTTATCACTGGACACCACTAAATCTCCCTAAATCTTTCACAGTGGACCTTTAAAACCAGGGGGGACCATTTTCAACCTAAACCTTCTTAGTTTTTAGAAACCAAACAGCTAAACTGACCATTTTAGAGCTTTTGAAATGAAAACCTGAGATCAGGGGCTCTCAGAGTTTTGATGACCGAGGATCATTTTAGGGAGCCAGTGTATGATTACGGGCAACACGCAAAAAGTGTTACTATGTCATAAGGTGTCACATATATTGAGTATGATCTCAGTTTGAACCACACTGACTGCAAAAATACTGCGAATAGCTGTGTGTGTTTTTGTTGTGCAATATGAAGTCCCTTTATGTTGCCAAAATAGTTCTCCAAAAATCAAAGAGGTGCACATGATCTTTCAAGTAAAATTTTTAACAAAAAACTAACACATGACAAACCTTGAATCACATGGTTTTCCCATAATGACATTATATTTACATGTACTTTAGTACATGTACTAAAGAAATAGTGAGGATGTAAATTGAAATGAAATTTTAATTTGTAGCCAGGATTTTACACGATTAAATTGTCTTTTAGTACTGCTCAACCCACAACACATGCAAATACAGCTTTGTCCTATGTTTAATCAAAGGAGCTTAAGGAATTTTTTAGATGGGTTTTCTAATTCTTGTATTCCCTCCAAGTATTTTTGTCTCCATGAATGACACACCTTGAGCTCTATTTTGAAGAGGAGCCCAGAGAACTTCCGGTTTGTCCTGTATTGAATTGTGTTATGATTGACGCAGCTGTTTAAAACCCCACCCTGAAAATGTGAGGTGTTCTGCCCAGACATCTCTCTGCCTCCATGCTGCACAGGTCAGGTGGTAACTGCTCACTGCTGAGGCCTGGCTGCTCTTTCACCTCCCGGAACAACACGTGGACTCCGGGAAACATCCAGAATAATAAAGACATCACTGTGTATTAATAAATTTCAATTTCCAGAGCTCACTGCATCCACTGTGGCCAGTTGAAATTTAAAATTGATGGAGTTAATGCAAAATATATGAGGAAAATATGACAGAGATTGATGTTTTCACAGTTTAAAGGGTCAGTCCACATAATAATAATATAAATAGATAAAATTAAAACCTTTTTACTCATGGTGGGATCTATACATGGATGTATCCTTAAATCTTTATGATGTAATTCTTCACTGCTGTAGGCATTAAAGAGTGGGTGATGCAGACGAAACCTTCCATTATGATGTATGTGATTATATGTTGTGTATAGCCAATATAAAACATTATATTTAATATAGTTTATGGTACAATACATTTTCTGGATGAATCAGATGAGATGCTGTTAGGGATAATAATAACACTAGCATTAATGATAATAATAATTATATTATATTATAAAAATATTATTAAAAAGAACATATATTTTCTTATATTGTTAAAAAAAAATTGCAAAATCTTTTACATTTAATACATGTTCTCACCGTACATATCATCATATCATACCACACCTTATTTAATCACAACAAATAAAATGTTTGTCACCTTCACTGTATAGCAGTGAGGGCACACAAAGAAACATCTGCTGTTATCTCAAAATCTTATCAAATAAAACTAAAACTCTGCATTCTTAGAAACAACATAAGATTTGTTTTTCTTGCAATCTGTGTGAGCTGTTCCTTCTATATCATAAACCTGAACATTAAAGGTTTACATTAAAGCTGATTTACAAGTCAATTTAGTCCTATTTAAATTCACTTTATCAGGCCATTTGATGTTGTAAGTCCCAAGTCATCAACATCTAATTCTGAGTCATCAATGCTGAGTCACAAGTCATTGAAACTGGAGATTCAGTCCAGTGAGTATCAGATGTATGTAGGCCTGTCGCAGTGTGCAGAGGTAGCTGAAGTAGTGGAAGTACAAGATCCAATGTAAATGCAGTAGATGGAGTACATTAATGGCAGTGGTGGTAGATTAAAGTGGCAGTTCACCCCAAAAATCAAAATGACATATTGTCCCTCTCACCTGTCATGTTATTTACCAGTCTATACTGTTTTGACATGAGTTGCAGAGTGCTGGAGATATCGGCCGTAGAGATGTCTGCCTTCTCTCCAATATAATGGAACTAGATGACACTCAGCTTGTGGTGCTCAAAATGCCGAAAAAATACATTTGAAAAACTCAACAGCAATGTCTCTTTCCAGAAACCATGACCTGGTTACTCAAGATAATCCACAGACCTTGTTGTGAGCAGTTTCATGTAGGAACTATTTTCTTTCTACTGAACTACACCTGCCAACCGCATCACTGCGCAGACGGAAGCGTGCATCTACTGCTAGCTCACCTAGCACCACTGAGCTAGCTAACGTTACAGCCATTGATTTATAGTGATACTTAGATACCAGATGCCAAGATTGCACCTATTCAGTGGTATGGAATTGCTCACCTGGGGCCTCATTTATCAACCGTGTGTACGCACAGATGTGTGCGTAATGAGTGCGTAAGAACATTACCACGCAAAGTATGGAATTTATCAACTTGTACTTGTGCTTAGGAACGTGTGTAAATTTAAGCACAGCTCTGACCATGCTTACGCACAAAATCTAGTGGTAGAACAGTGAAACTACAAATCTTTGAAAAGTGAGAAATTCAAGATTGAAAGCGTGCGTGGGAAAATAATCTCAACATCATTCAACATTTTAAAGTTTATTTATTTAACATTTGCAATGCGCATGCAGCAATCTGTTTCAGTGACTCGTTAATTTGCAGTAAAGTATTTGCGATGTTTGTCAGTTGATCCTTTATTTCATTTATGGAATTGGTGGTGTCTTGTTGATTTTGTAGCACTGCCTCCGTCAGCACCCTCGCCCCCCCAGGATGCACCGAATGGGTTTTGGATGGCCCCGGCTGCTCCTGTTCCTCCAACTCCCCCAGCTCCTCCACCGCCTCCGGCTCCTGAGGGCAGGCGGGACTGGCTTGAGTTTCTGAGTTATTGAAGAAACATCACATTATTGTCACGTTTATTTTAATTCAAATTCACAAATTGAACTGTCTAAATAAATGTTTATGAAACACCTCAGCCCGGCTTTTTATTTTACCTGCAGTGTCTGTATCTCCATCAGGAATAATGCCACATAGTGCTGCATCTCCGATGATGCTGGCAATATGGGTGTCCATGGGTGACAGCTGGGTTGTTGTTGCTTGTCCTCCTCCAGTTGCAGATATTTCATGTCTGTGGGCTGTGACGCGTTTTTTGGCTCTGATTTTAATGTCAAACCATTTCTTTTTTACTTCTGAGAGTGATCTTTCCTCTGACCCAACGGAATTCACAGCAGTCGTTACTTTCTCCCACGCAGCATTCTTTCTTTTGTTGGTCACACCTGCATTAAGTGTTCCAAATAGTATTTTTTGGTTTGTTTCAACTTCTCCCACAAGTACCTCAATCTCGGTGTCGGTGAAGTTCCTCTTCTTCGCCCTCGTTGCCATGATTTCGGTGAGGGGGAAAAAATCCATTCACGCATTATTAAAGGGATTGTTGCTGCCATATATGGTCAATTGGAGGCATTTCTGAATGCAAATGACCCTAACCATGCACGAGCATGGTAGTTAAGAACAGGTGGGATTTATCATCACTGATTACTTACTAGTGTGCGTACGACCAGTGTCCGCACGCTTGATAATTACGGATTTTTTTGTACTTACACACATTCTAAGTTTCATTCTTAGGACAGAATTTAGAACCTTTTCTACGCACGGTTGATAAATGAGGCCCCTGGTTTATACAGCAAAAAAAATTTCTAGCTTCTGGGTTTACTTTCGCGATATGCTGCCCACAGAATATGAGCCATAGCATTTCTCCTGCTGGCCCCACCTGCGAGTTCCCGCTCAGCTCATAGACTTTACATTGCGATGACGTCACAGAGCTTTAAATCACTTTTCTCAGCTCAAGGAAACTTTTACAAACCTCCATGAATGAAAAATTCACAATAGAAAGGGTCATAATGAACCAGTTTGTGGTGTCCCGTTAGTAGTACACACACGTCTCTTTACAGTGGTGGTCTATAGGGAAAATTGTTTACGAGCCGCAGAGAATTTTTTCGCTGCAATACCGCGAGTGGCCACTGGCAAAAATTGGAAGCAAAGCTGAGCAGCGTTCCTGGGGGCCTGCTTACAGTTCAGCTGAGAAGGACACTAGTGGCCACTCCCGGTATTGCAAGCAAGTCCAGTTGCCTACGATATAGCACTTACGATTACCATGACCTGGATGACTGAGAATCTTCACCGACAAGACACTAATAATGTTTACATCTCATGCTGTCATGAGAACAAGCCTCTCATCCATGGGTAGATGCATGGGTGTAGTTTGGCAGAAGGAAAATAGTTCCTACACGAAACTGCTCACAACAAGGTCTGTGAATTATCTTGAGAAACCAGGTCATGTTCTGAGAGCTGTTGAATCTTTCTTCCTTTCTTTCTTTCTTTCTTTTTTTCTTTCTTTCTATTCTTTTTTTTTTTTGGTGCTTTGAGCACCACAATCTGAGTGCCATCTAGTTCCATTATACTGGAGAGAAGGGATACATCGGCCGACATACCACTAACACTCAAACAACCCGGATTGATAAATAGCGACAGGTAAGAGTAGGTAAAACCATAATATTTTATATGGGTACCACTTTCTAATAATGCATTTTTTATGGTTGTAAGTTGTAACTAATAGCTTTATTAATGGTTAATAAATCATGAATTAATGTTGCTAATAGATCAGCAATAAAGAAAACTTTTGGGTTGTGGAAAGTCCTTGATGACCCTTCATTTTACAGGTCTGTATTTCATGTTTACTTCCTAATAACGTCCAAGAGGGCTTTGTAACAGAAGAAGGTAATTTGGTACAGGTCTAGGGACAGTGATCAGTTGGTTCACCATCAATAGATCAATTTCAGTTAATGCCAGCATAACCTGGAGGGTCAGTTAGAGCACAGCAGGTCAGCTATACATGCAGCTATACTTCCATGGTAATTACAATGAAAATTCAGACCGATAAAACAAAGTGCTACCAATCTTTTTGTCAGGTGTTTATCTACTTCATCATAACTTCACATAGGCCTATTTATCTACCTTAATATTCAACAACTAAATATTGATATTATGTTAATAATACACATATGACATATGATGATAATGTCCTGTAAAGCAGTGGTGCTCAACGTTTTCTGTGTTGTAGATCCCAGTTTGATAGGATTTAACTTCTGGGACCTTAATTGGAAACATTTTTGTTGTTAGATATGATGAAGACCAGAATTTTACAGTTTCCAACTACAGTTGAGGAGATAACCGTGGAGGAAGTGAAAGCTAGGCTCAGACAAGTCGCTCATGTGACTTTCACTCACACTGGGCTAATTTTTATGGTGAATTAAATTGTGAAAATGAACTATTCCCCTTTTTTCTGGGGACCCCTGGATGAGAAACACTGTAAATAATCCAGCGCCCCTTAACCATTTCTGTCTTCCTCCTCCAATACCATGTGGTCACAGACAAAGAAGAGGTAAAGATGAATTTGATAGATCACGTTATTATTTTGTTATGGTGAACTCTCTTGGCTACGATAATTATGTAGTAAAAATCTGATATTGTGGCAGAACTATCATATATATAAATTACCATGTTGGCTTAAAGTTTGAGGTTAAGATTCTGCTTGTTTGATATGACAAAAATCCTAAATGGATCTTGTTTAGTCAACCAACATTTACTTACATTTAACTTACTGGAAAGTGGAACCATTATACCTCTATGATGACGAAACTACACTGACTGAAGCCTGTAAGAACTAACATAAAGCCTGTAAACATTCATATTCAGCTGCTTCCTTAAGAAAACACACAGTTGCCTGGAGCTGCAGCTCTTTGATTCACAAACCGTCACCAACAGCAGCCATTGTCTGCTCCTCATAGTTGTGTGTTTTCATCTCTCTGGAATAAATACTTCTGCTCCCATATCTTTCTGGAAGCACAAACAGAACTGCTGAGCTCCACAGTTTCACTTTGCAATCGCACAAAAGCAGCCCTGAATTGTCCTCACTGGGCAGCCAATGAGCTCAAAGCAGCAGCAGCAGCTCAGTGTCCACCAGCGGCCAGCCGGGGCCAGTTTCCTGCCGGACTCCCGTGGGTGTTGGGAGTCAAAAAGAATTTTCTAATCCGTCACCATTGTGCCAATTGTCTATAAAAATTAATGTGCGAGTGAAGCTCTGCCTTCACAGTAGGGCTATCAAATTCCAAATCACTGTTCATGAAAGAGTCCAAACAAAGACATGAATGACTCTGAAGATTTCAAGGTAACAACTCCACATCTAACTTTTTCATTTGTATTTTCAGCACAAAGGTGTGAATGGATACAGCAGCTCTGACTTCAGATATATCAGCACTATGTGACTTTGTTTGTGGTTCTTGTATTTGTCTTCGAGCCATGCTTTTATTCATTATTATTCCAGATTTGATTCCTTACACACCTTGCTAACTCATAAATATCTCTTACCATACGTGTGACAGACCCATTGTGTGTTTTCCAGGAGGGCCAGAGTAGAAGCAAAGACCAAATAGATGGTACAAGGATGAGCCTGGGTCACAGGAAGGGAGTGAGGGTGACTGGGAGACATGTACCACCGGTGGACTGGAGCAGCAGCAGCAGTGGAGGTCCATCCATCATCCACTCTCCCATCAGCACCCCTGTACCTCCAGATACCCCCACTGTGATCTCCATCGGCCCCCTGCCTCACAGGGCGCATGAGAGAGTTGATGATCCCAGGATGGACAAACCAGCAACTGGGGAGGACTGGTCCACAGACACGTCGTCTCAAACCAGGGTGTCCTTCGGTGAGATGGGCGTTCCCCGGCAGACCATGGAGGAGCTGAAGACCATCCTGAGGGAAAGTCCTCTGCTCAGCATCCGGGGTAGAGATGATGGGAAGCCAGGGAGTCCTTATACATACCTCCACGGAAGCAGCAGCAGTGGCGGTGGTGTTGGTGGAAGGCCCAATGGACGACAGGACGATGGAAACCCCAACAGGGTGTTCAGCACCTTCAAACCCCAGTCTGACGCTTCCAGAAGGGGGCCCATGTCCAGAGATAGCACATCTATTCAGCAGCCTTCCGGCATGGATTCATCCAGCTCACTCAGGTCTGATGCAAACACAAATAGGCAGCCTGGAGTCAGGGATCACACATATGCAAGCAGCGGCTCCTGGGGCGAGACTGGAGGTTCTAATACAGGTTGGTGAAGCTTTTGATTAAAAGACAATAGTAGATAGCGTAGGATCTGTGAGGACAAAACATTAAAAGGTGCTCAAGTCCTGTCTCCATCTTGAGTCAGGTTTTGTTTTAAAAGCTTGTCTTGTCCTAGTTCCTGTTTTAGCTTGGACTTGACTTAGTCTGGATTATTGTTGGATGTTGGCCTCTTTAACCTTAAAAATTAGGTGTTTTGTTTGTGGTCTTTTAATTTCTACAAACTAATTTGTCACTTCAGTAGAATTAACTTGGTATTGATCTCCATCAGATGTATCTACAGCTCTTTTCATCCCCACTAAAACTCCTTAATCATTAGTTTTACCTTTGTACATTTTGCTTTGGTTTATTGCCTGTTTTGAGGTTGTTTATCAAAGGATCCAGTCTCTTTGCCCGGAGTAATAGCCTGACTGGTACTGGATTTTGGAGGTTGATACTATAGATATCTAGGATCTAGGAAAAGCTATAATCCATTATGGATTTTTTTTTTTTAAATTTAAATCAAGATACAGCTGAGTGAGACATTTTACAGTGTAAAAATCAACTCGTCAGTGCTCTCTGGTGGACAAACTCTGTACTGGGGTCACTGGTTCTGATATATCCTATGGCTATATCTCAAACCTACCATGGTGTCACCCACTGGTTTATGGACTGTCGTTCTGAAGCCTTGAATTTTGCATTTTGGCCATTGCCATCTTGTTTTTTTTTTGTGTGTGTGTGTGTGTGTGTGTGTGTGTGTGTGTGTGTGTGTGTGTGTGTGTGTTTTTAGAGGGTGGAGTTGTGGAGGAGTGAGGGGTGGATCTGACTCATAGACCAGTGGTTCCCAACTGGTCCAAACACAAGATCCAGATTCCTCCTTAGTCATTAGTTCAAGGCCCACAGAGTTTCATACATTCAGGATCATACTTGCATTTCGCTATGTCTTCGAGCTAGTTTGCTGTCTCTGTTTTTGCTTTGTGTTTGCTGTCACAGGAAACGGCACTTCAAAATAAAAGCTCTGTGCTGGAAATTCACTGTACTTTTAGATAAAGTGTGGGGTTTTTTTGTTTGTTTTTATTACAAATTTGACACATTTGCAAGTTACCCACGGCCCATTCAGAATTGACCCGCAACCCACTTTTAGATCATGACCCACCAGTTGGGAACCATGTCATAGACTGTAGCGCCGCCTCACAGACAGCCTGTCACTTAAAACAGCCTGCCTATAAATATGTATAACTTTGGGCCTTAATGAAATGTAAATGGGGAAGATTTGTCACTAATGTTTAAATTAGCTTTAGAGACCAAAACAATTTTTTTCCAGGCTGTAAACATGTTTATTTCTGCGTTACAGTCAGGCATTTTAACATAGGGATCTATGGGGATTGACTCACTCTTGGAGCCAGCCTCAAGTGGCCACTAGAGGAATTGCAGTGTTTGACACTTGTGTATTGCCTTCATTTTTTAATCCTGGAGGTTGCCACTTGGTTCGACATTTCTGGACTGTAATTTCTTGTTATCAGTTGACATATACACAGATACAGATATAGCTGCAATAAGCAATTATTAACTGGGCAGATTTATCTGGCTAGCTCTATTCAGTGTTGACTTAGGTCCCGTTTATACGACAACGATTTCAACTGAAAACGGTACACTTTAGTTGCGTTTTGGCCGATCGTTTACACAACAGCGGCGTTTTGGGTGCCTCTGAAAACGGAGACTTTTCGCACATGCACATTACGCTTCCAGTCACTAGGCATGTGCAAGAAAGTCGACCATCACAACAACAATGGCAGACTCCCGGGCTCTGCTTGTGCTGCTCACCCTGTTGGATTTATCAACGTTTCCCCATCACAGTGTAGATTTACTGTAGCACCTCCACCTCGTCGTCCGTCCAGACAAACGTTCGTGCAGTTGCCATTTTGTTTGTTTATACATCGCCGCTCTGTAGAAGGAAGCGTAAGCATCACACCGCCAACTACTGGCCTGGCATGTATTCTGCAGCATTTTTGGTCATTTTTGCGGATCCGTGTGCACGGCAATTGTTATCAAAATGTTGTCGTCTAAACGTGGAACTTTTTTCAAACGAAAATGACAAAACGAATCTGTTTTCAGTGGATCGTTTTCGTGTAAACATGGCCTTGAATCAAAGGAACTGTTTTGGGATTTGACTATTATTATATTGTTGGTTTTAATACCAATAGAGCTTTGAGTCTTAGAAATATTAAAGAACAAAAAACATTCTTGACATTTCAAACTCTTCTCCACAGATAACGAAACCGAGTCAGTCGAGATCTTTGGGAATCAGAGGTTCATTTCAGCCATGGAGCAGATCAAGCAGCAGATCGCCAGAGAAAACATCAACTTTGTCCGCTTTGAGGCCACCGACCTCCACGGGGTGTCCAGGTCCAAGACAGTGCCTGTCCGCTTCTTCCATGTAATCACTTCTCCTTTCTATTTATGTATCTAGAGGGATTGTTGTATGATAAAGAGGAGCAAGATATGGAAACAGGGCCCAGGAGACAGCAACAATGTGTCTCTAAAACCTCAGAGTGAAGTTTAGGTTGAGCAGCGATTAGCACCGCTTAGGGTTTAAGACTGGAAGAAGGAAACAGCTCGTCTGACTGTGTCAATTCCAAAAACACGCCTGCACCAACACCTCTTACTAAATAACACATTTAATCCATACATATCAAGATATGTTGAGAAAGAACCACTCAGCTTATTTGGCTTATTCTTATCTTGTTCATGAAATTGATAAAGCTCGAGATAAAATGAAAAGCACAGCTAGAATCTTCTTGGACTTACCTAAAGCTTTTGGTACTGTAGGCCATCTCATTCTTCTTCATAAACTTTCCTGTTTTGGAGTCAACAAATCTGTGTTGCTTTTGTTTTTGAGTTACTTTAAAGACAGGAAACAGTTTGTCTCTTAAGGCCGAGACACATCAAACCAACATCAAATAACTAGTGCCAATGAAGGCCAACTGTTGCATACTCACATTGCCTGTGTCACGGTCAAAAGGTTGCACTTGAACACACCACAAGGACTGGACAGAACCAGGTTGTTGTCTCTTCCTGCTTTCAGTCTTTATGTTAAGCTAGGGTCATCACCTCCATACTTAATGCACAGACATCAGAGTGGTATTGATCTTCTCATCCAACTCTCAAAAACAAAGTGCATAGGTGTGTTTACAAAAATGTGGAACTATTGCTTCATTGTAAATGTTGCATCCACAGGAGAAAGCAGTATATGGGGTACCGATGCCGAGAAGCTACTTGGAGCTGACCCTGAGCCCTAAGAGCAACGAAGTGGACAATGCCAGCGCCGCCAACTTCAGCAGTGATGTCCTCCTGATCCCTGATCTTTCAACCTTCAGGGTCTTACCCTGGGCTGAGCAGACAGCCCGAGTCATCTGCGACCCCTGCACTGTGACAGGAAGCCCTCTTCGCACCTCACCTCGCCTCATTGCCAAGCAGCTCCTCGGCCAGCTCCAAAGCATGGGATTCTCCCTGCACTCATCCTTCACCTACGAATGCTGTGTCCTCGGAGCGCCAGACCGGATCGGACCAAAGACACTCATGTTCCCGGCCACCACCCTGCTCAGCAATCATGACCTGCCATTCTTCCAGCAGCTGGTGGACAGCATGTACTGCATGGGTGCAGACATAGACAGCATCGCCTCTGCAAGCGGCCCCGGCCAGATGGAGATCAACCTGAGGCCAGAGTTTGGGATTGCTGCTGCTGATACCGCCTTCACTTTCCGCACAGGCATCAAAGAAATGGCCCGTAAACACAGCTACATCGCCAGCTTCTTCACTGATGATGGCCTGTACAATGCTGGGGTGCTCTCTCACAGCTTGTGGGATGCTAACGGGCGACGTAGCCTCTTCCTTAGCGGGGAGAGGGCAGGCGAGCTATCTGAGATTGGCAGAAAATGGCTGGCCGGGCTCCTCACCCACTCTGCTGCCCTGAGCTGCCTGATGTCACCCGGCCTGGGCTGCCGGAGCCACATCGCCAAGACAATCAAAGACCCCAAAAGGATGTTATATGCAACATGCGGTTCCAACGATAACAGCAGCTCCTTCAACATCAAGTGTCACGGCGGGAGGGAGACGCACATTGACAACAAGCTGGGCTCAGCCATGGCCAACCCTTACATTGTCCTGGCTGCTACTGTGGCCGCAGGACTGGACGGCATCAGGCGAAACCTGAATGTTGAGAGTGGTCTGAACAAAGCCCCCACTCAGCAGAAGGAGTTCGCCATTCCCGTGAAGCTCGACGAAGCTCTGGATGCGTTGGGGGAGGATCACGTCATCCGCAGCACCCTCGGAGAGCCGTTCGTTCAGTATTTCATCGCCATGAAAAAGTTTGAGATCGAGACCCAAGAACTGGATGATGAGAGGAACAAGTGCCTGGAGTATTTCATCTAGAAATCCTCCTTGTTTTATAATATGAGAAACACACTTCCTCCTGCCACACAAATAAAAGCATGAAAAACAGCTTGAATAGCTTTTTATTTTATATATTATGTTGATATTTAATAATTATTATTATACAGATTGTAGATGTTTTTCAGTTGTTTCAAAATAAAGGTAAAACTACACCCTCAATGTGCAAAGCAGTGTTGTGCAATTTTGTTGTTGTGGGTGCATTTTTTAATTACTTTGAAGAACAATACTGATACAACTGCTGATCTGACGAGTGTGAATACAGAAGTATTACATTATCAACCAACATGATAATAATTATAAAAAAAAGAAGTGGTCCGGACACTGAGTAAGTATGCCTGAGGAGAAAGCTAAGATATGCTGTAACCCTGTGAAGTCTCATATCGATACGCAACATAAAGTCAGTGAGGACATTTTGTTGTGGTGGACGCATGAAATAAGTCTCAAGAGCAAGAAAGTCGGCATCAGCCAGGTATGAAGAGTGATGGACAGGTCAAACAAACATGAGATTGCTGTTCATGCCCCGTGTGAAACCAAAAGTCAAAGTTGAAGTAACTGCGCAAAGTACGTAATTTAATGTCACATGTCCTGTATGTAGTTATTTAATGGAAATCACAATGTTTCCCCAAACTTAACCAGGTCATTTTTGTTCTGTAAACCTAACCAAGTGTCTTTCTTTCCCTTGTTTTTACGTTGATTTTAATATCATTTTAATATCATTTTAATTTTAATAGATTTAGTGCCCATCTCAAAGTAATGCAGTGTTAAGAGGTCGTGTCCTTTTCAGGTATTTCTGTGAGACTGTTGTGTAACCTGAAGGCTACGTCTCTCCAACTTTAATCTTGCCAGTATTTTTGTTTTCTGGTGTGTAATGAACAGCACAACCTTTTGGGGCTGCTAGCATGGCTGCCAATTTTAAGGTCTAATTGTTACCTATGTAGAAATGCTTCCGCAGCACTGCAGAGATGATCTGTGGAGTTCACAGACAGCTGCAAAGACGCACCTTTGTCCTTCTGAAAAATGTGACTATGCACTGCAGACGCTGCACAATTTGACTGGACATCAGAGCCAGGAGGTAGGATCTCTGGACAATTCAGGTCCCAACATCCACGTGGGAATCGCAGTCCCAGTATTTATATGCCTGACTCGCGTGAGAGGTGTCTTGTTTTCTTGTAGGCTGAGAGAAGTACATACATTTTTATTGTAACAGAGAGTTTCCCAGCTAAACCTTTCATCTCTTCACAAAAAGGACACAAGTAAAATCCAAAAGCAAGGAAGCAAGTTGGTTTTCACATGTAGGCATAGTTTTCACAAATTTTATGCTTTTTATTTACAGTGTGTATTTCAGATGTAAAAACTTGTAGGTATAATCTACATTTTCACATAGGACTACTCACATCAGAGAATGACAGAAAAAGTCAGTTCACCCAATTTAAAACACAACAAACAAACAAAACATTTGGAAACGATGTCCCCTCAAAGTATGATTAGTTGCTGTTCTAGAGCTTTCAATCATGATCTCTCTGGGCAGATATAGTTTGCCCAGTTGTCATGGAATTCTGTGTGTTTTTTTTTTTTTTAACATTCTTAGCACCTCAAGGCCATGGACAAGAAGCCCTTTAAGTCCTCCAAAAATATTAAATTACATCATGTGATTTGATTGAAAGCTTTAGAGTAGCTACTAAACAGACCTTGAGGTGTGATTGTTTTTTTCAAAACTGCTGTTCCCAAGTTCAAGAACAAAATTTGACTCTCTCAAAAAAAGTTTTCTGTTTTTTTTACTTGATACTCGATACACACTGATACAATGAAGATGAATGCTAGTGCTATGTGCATTGAAAAATTACATTTAAATATTCAACTGCAGATCAGCACCTCTTTCCAGAAGCCAATCAACTAACTTCACTGTGAAGGGTTTTCAAAGGAAGTATTTCTTCATGAGAAAGTACATCCAGTGAATCCTGTTGACAGTGATGTCTGTGAAGACATTAAAGAGTTACAAGAGACACCTCATTACTTGCACTGAACTCTTTGGTTCAAGGCTACATTTCCCTTTAGTCAGCGTGGTTGTATTATGCTTTAAACATGTATATCTTGCAGGTGCACGAGGACAGCTGAGCCGTGAATGTCAAAATCATTAAAAGACAATACAGAGGGGGAAATGTACAACATCAAGCCATTTTAGTAAAAATGTATTTTACATATTAGACAAAACAAACGCACAATAAAGGATAAGGTTGGCGAAATTATATTTTTTATGGTTAACTAATTCCATGAAAAAGACAAAAACCAACAATGACATTAATACTTTCTGACTGCCTTGCCTTGGCAGTGGCTCTCAAAGCTCCACAAGCCCATTGGTTCCTAAAACAGGTAAAAAATACATACTCAACAGCTGGTAACAGTACCCAGTAATGGCAATGTCGGCAGCTGATTCTGGGGGGGTCATTAATGCCGTGTCTAAGCCAAGTAGGGCAACTGGAAATGGTCCAACTAATTTCATCCAGCATGCCGAGTTCAGGACAGTTCTGGGACGGGTCATTTTGGCTACCTGGGTAGTGCTTAAGAAAAGTTACTCAAACAGGAGGAAATAGTGCATTTTGCTGGGGACTATTTACATCGGCAGATAAATCCACATTTGTTGCTCTGGTGAGTATTTGTGGCAGCAGGACGGTGTATGTGGGACTGAGTCAAAATAATCTACAGAGTGTTCATAGCGATGAAGGAACATGTAACCCAATGGAGCTCTGTGGCACAGAAGAACAAGATACAGACCTGCCAACTTTGAAGAAAGTCTTGGAGTACCACCTTATGCTGAAAACATTCAGCTCATATACACGTGTGCATAACACAGTATATCCTGCATGGCAGAAATCCTCAGTAGAGCGGGGTGGAGTAGCTCAATATGTAGCTGATATTGACATTTTTGTTGTTATTTTATCTCTTTAAATTCACAACACATGCCAATACATCAACATATCATTCAGTGTTCAATAATTACCTGCTGATCCTTGATGATAGATGTCAATGGTATTGCTGACTGTGGCCAACTATGGCCAACTCTTTCACTAACTATCCAGGAGTTTCTGCAGTGGATGCACTTTCTTTCTTCATGGGGGTGCCATGATCTGCTCCTCTCTTTATGTGTTTGGCTGCTATAATTAATATTACTGATACTATGAAAAGTCACATTTAACCATCTGCGACATAGGTACAATATAACGTACTTTGCCAACTTAAATGACTGATGAACGAGCAAGCTAACTTACAAATACCTAGCTATGTAACATTAGGCAAACGTTACCTCAAATCGCAATCTCAACTCTACACATAGCCTTCACACTGTTTACTTTTGTATAGCAGTTCACAAAATAGTCCTCACTTGGGAACCATCCAGCTGCAGTGAGGAAGGGGAAAAAGGGAGAGATAATAATCAAGGTCAAGATTGTTGCTATTGATTTGTGGCTCTTAGCTAATGTCTTTTGAAATTACATGACGCATATGCCAATCATCACATACTTTTTCGTAGTGGTTGAAAGCAAGGTGATAAAACTGGTTGAGCTCTTATTCTTTTGCTTTTCAGCACACTAAATGCTCATTAGTGTATTTCTGCTACCTCTTGCTGTTAGACACGAATACTACACAACTGGTCAGCCTCATCAGCTTTTTGCGTACTTTAGAGTGATAAATCGTTCTAGTGTACATTGTTGTCCCAATAGGTTGGCAGGTCTGAAGATATCCTCCTGAGACCTGAACATTTGTTTAGTATGCACTTTTAATTTCTCCTAGCTATTTGGGATCAGTAGGACCCGCTAGGTATAAAAACCTAAACATTGTCAACGATAATGAAGTCCCAATGTCCTCAAACAAACACTTAATTGTTGCCATATCCAACTACAAACATTATTAATCATAAATACACAAGTTTCAACCATAAATGTACATGGATAAGTGTATTGTGGTCCTACTGCCACTAGATGGCACAAAAAGTGTCCAAGATCAAGGACAACAGGTCTGAGTAAAGTAGAATGAAGCATAAGATCAAGTAAACCCAAAATGTGATGTCCTCATATAGGGACACAGGGTCTCGGGAGGATATGTCAGGCTTTGGTACTCACACACTGCTTGTTGGTAGATACATTCATTGTTGGTTTTGGTATTTTCATGGCAAAGTATAAAATCTCACCAGATTTATCCTTTCAGAGAACTTCCAAAATGAGTAAACACTTTCAATATATGGAAAGATGTATTCTCACAACCATTTTTACAACTCAACTCATCTGCAAGCGCTACTGTCATATTCACCCTGCTATTACTTCATCCGTAAACACCTTGACTTAACGGTATTACCACACGAACCCTGCTTCCCTGCAACATCCCAATCAGGGTCATACATAGACACTGATTTAGTAGCAGACACCTGATAAATCACATCTTGTGTTTAGTGATCAGTGGTAAATATCTTCCCTGATAAGAGCCACATTATCTCATTGATGGAAAAATGTATCATACTGCATGCACAGTATCTTTGTCTCTGTGTTGGAACCTAAATAAATCACACAACAATAAAATGACTTCGCGCTGACTTAGTCTTCATTCCCTGAGCATGGCGCTCTTCTTCTCTTCCTGCAGCTCTACTTGTTTTTACCTATAAGATTTCCTACTCGCTGCATGAATCTCCCCAGTTTATTGTCAGTGCCACTTTGTGTGTTATACGTTGGATAGCCAGAGTCATTCCTGTTCAGGGAAGAGCTTTTCTCTGGAGGATACATGCTCGGCACCTTCATCGATTTATCCAGAGGAATGCTGTCAGTGCTGAGCAAATATTCTAATCGACTGTAGGCTTTCTCTCTCCTGGTTTGATAGGCAATCAATCCCTCGTCATCCAGAGTGCTCCTCGAGCCTTTGTCCTGCTCTCCTGCAGGGTTTGTCTTTTTTTTGCTTGAACGATGAGGAGATAATCTCGGGAATGGAGACTTGTGCTTTTCCGTCTCTGTTTGACTACCGAGAGAGCCCTGCGACCTGGACGTGCTCAGTGATTGACTTTTCTTTGTTGTTTGCTCTACCGCAGCTGCCTGTGAATGGTCTGCTTTGACTGGTTGGTTTTGACCATGCGACCTCATTGACCCCTTTCTGTGGAGTGACTTCTCCTCCTTTTTGGATGCTTTCTTTTCGTCTGGCGTAAGCATCGAATATACCTTCTTCCTCAAAGAATTCTTCCTTTGAAGGGGTGGTTCCTCGTGCTGTGTTTGCTTTTTGTCTGTGTGGCTACTCTTAGCTTCCCCTGCATGATGAGATCCTGCAGAAGTGTTTAAGACCTTTGGAGCAGTTTGGGCCTCACTGGATGTTGACTTCTTTCTTTCTTTTGGAGCAGCAGAGTCTGAACTGTTGGTCACCTTACCCACAGAACCAGGGCTTCCTTTGGTTTGATCCTGGCACTGTGACTCTTCAGGTAAGTTGGGTTTCACAGTGTTCTCCTTTGGAACAGGTTTCTCGTCTTTTTGAATATCCTCATTTGCCTCTTTGAATGCAGCTGAGTCGGAACTGTTGACACGTGAACCCTCTCTCTCTTCAGGGATCTTAGTCAGAGACTCCATCGCTCTTGGATGTTGGAGACCGCTGGGCTGCAAATGAGCCAGCTTGAGCGACGGATCATTGAGTTTCATATCTAAATCAGCAGCTGAGGTTGTCCTGGAAAGAGGCTCGTGCCAGTCATACGTCTGTGCCGTCTTTCGATCCGGAGCCATTGTGACATTGTAGTGAGAGGTAGAGCGCTGACCGTCAGTGAAAGTTTGCTGTCTTTTGTCACCTTCTGTATTTGTCTCACTGTCTTTGTGGTTGGTCGGTTCCAGGCTGAAACCGTTTTGCACTTTTGGCTCTAATTCTGTCACATTCTGCCTCATGTCAGGACCTCTTAATGGAGACATAAATTTCGGTCTGTCCAGAGTCTGAAACATAGACCTCAGGGACTCTTGGCTCTGCCTGAGATTGGTGTATTCCTGCAGACTGAGCCTCTTCTGCCTCATTTCCTCCATCCTGGACTTAATGTCCCTCGACCTGCTGTGAATCAGCTTTGACTGATGCTCATTTAAGCCTGTGTGACTACTATATGGAGATGCCACAGGGGAAATTGCCTCACATGATGCATCTAAAGGAGCGTTGCTGTCATTAAAGTATGCATCCATCTTCCATCTGTGAAGGGATGTTTCAGAGTTGAATGGTATGAGGTTCTGGTCCGCTCCATAGCGAAGCCGGTGTCGAAGGTGCTGCTGAGACAACCTGTTTGTCAGCAGCATGTCGCCGCCCCCTCTCATGTTAAGTCCAGTCTTCTCGGCAGAGGGGACTCCAATGTCCTTGGTTCCCATCCTCAGCCGAGTCATGGAGTTCAACTTCTGCAGTTCTCCGCCGTAGCTGTGTCCCCGCACCAGATTCCCCATGTCAAGACAGTGAGATTGATGAAGCCTCTCCTGCATGCTCAGGCCCCTCGTCATCAGGGCGGCACTGTTCAGCCTGTCATCCTGAGAACTCCTCATGCCATGCATCACTTTGGGTCTCATGTGAATTTGGTGCAGGGAGAGCTGGCTGGAGTTTGGGCTGTGCAGGGCCACAGTGTCTCGTAGGTACTGGACAGATGACTTCTCCTGAGACAGAACTGCAGGAACTGTGGAGCGAGCGTACAGTCTCCGAAACTCCTCGTCATAAGAGGCAACCAGCTGACCTGTGATCACCAGAACCATGCTGAGGTTGATCTTCTCAAACGACCACGTGTAGCTGAAAAAGAAAATGGCGACATGTTACTAAGTGTTCATGTGATATTGATTGTGATGAGATATTAGTATGCCAGTTAATTAAGCGCAGCTGGTGGACTTAGACACACAGCATTGGGTGGGTGTCATGTATTTTGAAATCAGTTTTTGCTGGGTAGGACTGAGACTTGCTTCTGACAAGCTACTATTACTACCTGTACCTTTTGCCAGGATTGCTTGAGTTAGCAGAAAGACACAGGGTTAGCTGACATCTCAACTTGCCAGGCAGATTTTTTTTTAAGTCCAGATAAAACGGTGTGTCAAGGGTATCCAGCTTCAGTGTCGTGACCTATTTCTTGGTGAAAGAGGATAGGTAGGTCGGATATAACATTGGGAAGACTTTGATTTGATTGTTGAGAAGTGGGTGTGCCATAACAGACATGGAAAGGCCCTGATGGTGTACACTGACAGGACAGCATTACCTGTCAGGGACAAAGAGACAAAGCTTATCGTGTGCTTGGGCTGGAGTTTGGTTACATGTAGTTGCTGAAGCAGTCCTGTTCCCAAAGTTCCCATAACTTTGGGAACAAGAACATGAGGTTTAACATGGCAATACCCCAAGACACACCAGCGTAGCACACTTTTGCTAGCTTACTAATAAATATTAGCTGTATGCGGCTAAAAGTTGCAGATTGATTGATGGGTGGAAATCATTATTCTTTGAAACTGGTTGGTACTAGCTTACGTAAAAAAATGTCATATTTTGTTTTACAGGAAAAAACATGGTGATTTGATATAAGAATACAGCCTGTTCTCAATCCCAACTTCTCCTCCCAAATACAGCCACATTGTCAGTGATGTCAGCGTTAGACACCGATACACAGAGACACATATTGAGGCGGTATGATATGCACCAGGTGTGTCATTTTTAGAGGCAACAGGCAACAAGACAATTTGTGAAATATTGTTGCTTTGTCAGTGAACATCGGCATCACACACCAATGCACAGAGGCACCTTTTGCAGGGGTGTGATATGTTGCAGGTGTGGCAGTTTGTAACGCGGCCGGCAACCATTATAATTTGAAAAAAGCGAGAATACCATATATAGTGGGGGGCGGGAGGGCTGGTGAATGGGTCAAACAAACTCCAGACTTTGTTCCAAGTGTGAATTTTAAGCCAAACCATTATGTTTTTTGTCTAAACCCACGTGCATTTGTTGCCTAAACCTAAGGAAATACACCAAAAAATGAAGTGTTTGACATGTTGTAAGTTCATTTTGAAAAAAAAAGGTATGCATGTATCAAGCAGAAATAAGAAAAAATTAAAAAATTGGCATATATTGATAAACAGGTAATCAAAAAGTGTGGATGTGATCTTAGAGGATTAAAAAGGCATCTTTCATTTCATCTTGTCTTTATGTGGTAACTTTGTTTTTATTGAACACCTGGCAATTGTAGTGCAAGATGGGCTCAGTGTGAATTTACACTTGGCATTCATGAGTGTTTTTCTTTACCTGGATAGGACATCCAGAAATGGATGATATGTTAATACAAGGTGGGGTCCATGTGACTTGCTGAATTATGGTATCATCTCAGTTTACCAAGTTTTTAATTAAAAAAACAAAACAAAACAATAAGAGGCACCAAATTCCCTTAAAACTCAATCGGGGAATCTGAGTAATTGCATTTGACAGGTGGATTAAATAATTAATCATGGCCCCTGTTTTGATTTAACTGTTGGGGTGTTCATGTGCAAAAAGGGTGAAGGTAGGATCGACAAACCTGTATGTCCCATACAACACTGTTTGGCAGTCCACCAGGATGAATCTTTGCTCCAGATCTCCATGGAACTTCACTCCAGACTGACACTGATACTGCTGACCCTGAACCGCCCGAACGCGTAGGTTCTGATGGAGAAACAAAGAGAGTCGCCAGGTTAGAGATACCTGAGCCAGGTAGAGGGGAGGAAACAGGATGAATTTTCTGTCATTATTGACACTGAGTGGTTGTTTGTACATGCGTGTTTTTAAATCAGTACATTTTTTTGATTGGCTAGCACTCGTCACAATGATGCTTCAAGGCGGTGAGGGTTATGGCAGATAAGTCATGGTTAGGCTTATCGATCTTGGATATTTTCTGTGACTTAAGGGGTAAATTGATGAGAAAAACTCACAAATGTGCTACCTGAAAGTCATGTGATGTCATGTGTTTTCTGGATATATAAAGCTGCTAAATGCACACTGTGTACATAAACTTAGGGGCAGAATAGCTGAGTAGACCTGTTTATATTAACTCCGTATTTCGGTGTTGCTAGGATGCCCAGGAATATACACCCCAACCCCAAAAAACCTAGCATTGTTAGCTATGGACACCTGGGTGCATCTGCCTTTATTGTAACTTAAATCCGCAATAACTCATTTTTGGCCACTTGGGGACAGCAGATACAACTTTTAAACATACCATTGACATATCACTTTTTGACTTCATGGTACAAAATTGCTAACAAACAGCTTTCTATTTGGAGTGGTGTTTCTGGCATCCTGATGAATGTAAGTCTAATACTCACTCTCTTGGAACTTTCTCAGCACTGGGTTGGGTACTTGTGGGTACAGGCGGGCAGCGGGTGAGAACAAATATCTATTTTTCATATTTCAGAATAAAACAAATGATAAAGATGTGAAGTATATGTGTATTATTTGACATCTAAAAAACTATTATCAAGCCGCGATTACTTTTATTTTGAAAGTCAATGACACAAGTCGAACCTTTGGCCCATCGTCACATTCGTCACCAACATGGAGAACTGCATGAATCTTTGCAGCCCGAGGATGAGGAGGCAGCTTACATGGAGTTCAAGACACCCAGTGAGCATGCTTTTGAGGTTTTATGGTAGTGGAAGGAGCATGATGTTTCCTAACCTGGGAGTGATTGTGCAGAATGTTTTCACCATCCTGGCATCAAGCGCAGCCAGTGAAAGTGACATCTCCTCCACTGGATTTGTAATTCAAGAATTAAGAACCCAGCTTAATGTAAGTGACTGTAGCCTGTGTGTGTTTAATCACAGGTGCTGGGTGGGTGCAGCTTTGACTAAAACATAATGATGGGTAACGCGTCCGTTCTGGTACTGAGCGTTATATGGTACTGAGTGTTACAGGTATGAGTGGGTGCTGGTTTTTAAAAAGGGCGACATGCAGAACTCTGAACTATCTGGCTCTTAAAATGACAAATGATCATCTTGTCTCTAACTGTGTCTGTCTGCCATTTCATGCTTGGACAGTAGCATACAGACATTGTGAGAATGAACCAAAACAGCAAAGTTTCCAGCCAGAAAGTTGGGTACAAGTAGGCATGTGATCCACTGCATGCTAATTAATTGCAGACTTTCTTCAATCAGTCTGATCTTATAAACTGTCCAGCTGTGCAATGACACTGTGACTGAGCAAGCCTTATACATACTTGATGCTGACTGTAATGTCTGTGACACAACTCAAGCAAGTTTAAAAAGTCAGCTGATTGACTTTCATACCACACGGAAATAAAAGAGGTGGCCTGGAAGTTTTCAGCAAAATAAATCCAAAAGCAGAAAACTCAGGTTAAACACCCTGGTAAACACTGTCCACATCGTCAGCTTTTCAAAGGACAAGTACTGCATCACAATCTGAATCTGGAATGTGACACTGCCTGTTTAAAAACCGCTCAGGCCTGTGCAGGAAATGTTTCAGTTTATTTACACGGTTTACTGGTTTGAGGTTGGGTTTTACTAGTTTGGTAACTGCCAATATGATATTACTGATTTATTTATTATTTCAGATATGGCTATGTAGTCTAACAACATGTGTAACGATTTAGAGAGATAATAAAACAGTTTAGAGAACACAGGTTTGATACATTTAAGTTAGACATTAACAGCATGGTATACTATTTCTTGTATGTCAAGAGGGTTTAGACATTAAATTGTACAGAGAAATGATGCTATGCCCGTGTGTCAATCCATCACTCTGTCCAACGATCCAACACTTTAATCCAGAATTTAATATCTTGACTACAGTTGGATGGATTGGCATTAATTTTATACAGTTTCATGGGCCCCAGAAGATGACACCTGCTGACTCCTGATTTTGCATCCATCGCCACGAGCGGGTTGTAAATAGAAACTTGTTCAACGTTTCAGGCAATGAGAGAACAAGTTCAAAACTAATGACCAAATTCTAAGTACAGCCTCAGCTGTAAGGGTATAAGAACAGCAGAGCTGTTGCTCCATGTTTCTTGAATGATCAGGTAATTGTGTGATGATTGTTGCAGTTCCCAAAGCTACAAACCACAGACTGTAATCTTACCCCTCTTTCATCTCCCCTATAGTAGCTGTAAAAGATGGAAAGCTCATTGAAGCTTTATGATGTTTACAGTTCTGTTTATTTGTTTGTTTGTTTGCACAAGAATGCAACATAAAAACCAAGGTGCAATACAAGTGACACACATGAAAACAGCACAACAACAACACAAGACAACCCAGGAAGCCAAAATGACCTAGCCCAACGTTGGCCAAAATTCAGCACGCTGCATGGTTGCCTGACTGGGCCAGGACTCTGGATGAATGATGCCCAAGAATTGGGCCAAATAAACTGGCTTGACTCCTGGCTGCGACTCACTGGGCCGTTATCAAAAATGACCTGGCCCAGCATCGGCCCAAACTCGGCACACCAGAAGGAATAAGTCGAGCCATGTCCGGTTGCCTGGCTTGGCTAGGACTCAGGATGAATGATGTCCCATAATTGGGCTAAATAAACCGGCCCAAATCCTTGGTGTCCACACTGCCATCACTTGACTGTTATCAAAAATGACCTGGCCCAGCATGCACCCAAACTGCACGCTGGGAGAAATAAGTTGGGCCGTGCCCAGGTTGGCTGGCCTGGCTAGGACTTGGGATGAATGACGCTCCATATTTGGGCTAAAGAAACTGGCCTGAATCCCGGCTACCAACATTGCAATCACTTTTCGAAAATGACCTGGCCCAGCATCGGCCCAGACTTGGCACATCCAAAAAAAAAAAAAAAAAAAAAAAAAAAGTTGGGCTGCATTCGCTTGCATGACTCAGCATTAATGATGCCCCATAATTGGGCTAAATAAACTGGCCTGAATCCTGGCTGCTGACACTGCCATCGCTGGGCTGTTATTAAAAATGACCTGGCCCAGCAGCGGCCCAAAATTGGCACGCTGGAGGAAATAAGTAGGGCGGTGCCTGGTTGCCGAGATGCCCCAGTAAATTGGCCTGATACTGGCTGCCGACACTGCCACCACTTGGAAGGGGGGGACTAGATGCAAACAAACTAAAGCAAAACAAAAACAAACATACAAAGAAGATTTTTTCATGTTTATGTTACGTTAAAACATTCAAACACAAAACTCCATGTCTTTTGCACCAAATTTAATTTTACCTGAATTATTTGGTATGATCTCTGGAAACAGTGGAATCTCCACTAGAGCTTAAAATACAGTTCTGTGGGTTTGAACAATGTTTGGCTGCTCAGTGTGAGTTTGCACCTACTGACCAACCAGTTAGGTTAGATTTTAAGAATTTAAAATGTATCCAACAAACACAGTCCATCAGTCTTAGATAATAAGTACATGTTCAGCTTCAGAAATCTCTTGCAAAGTCTGTCTGTGTGTCAGGTGACACCTCTTGTGGTTTTGGGGCTTTTTTTTTTCACTCATACTACAGCTTGTTTGTGAACAATTAGTCATTTTGTCCTCTAAAATATCCTGGTTTGAACTGTCTGACCTCATTAACATATAACACAGTCTGTTTTTAAGTACAAGAAACATTTTCATTTTAAATGAGATGCATATTTCTTCACTTGATTTGACTTTATACACTTAAAAAGCAAATTATGAACAAAGTAATTGTGGGAAATTAGGAAAGTAGAGCAGCAGTCTTTTCCATTTCCATTACTTGCGGCTTTAACACACACACACACACACACGCACTCCTTGTGATACTCAACAAGATCAAACCTGTGCGTCACTTTCTCTGAGGCTGGTATTTTGATGTGGCTACTGGCTAAGCAATTTGATCATAAAGCCGTCACTGTGTTCCCTCTGACGACTTGTTTGGACTGTTCAATCTGTCCTGATTCTGTTTAACTGGAAAATCCAGCCACGCTAACAGTTCTGTCCTACGGCTGCTGCAGTTGTCTCGTATGATAATGACAGGTAGAAACGCACGCAGCAGGGAAATGCTGGTAAATGACAGCGTTTCCACGAGGGCGTGGAGCAAATGTCAGACTTAATCCACTTAATGCTCCTGCCAATAGAAGAAAGGTCATGCCACAGGCGAAGCTTCCTCCGGCAGGAAACACTGGCAGAATATAAATCTACAAACATAAGCTGATGGAGCAGGAAGATGGATCTTTTTTTTTTTCACCCCAAAATATCAGAAAATGTCCACATCACATCGTATTTGTTACTGTGTTGCACATTGTCAACTTTTGTGTTTGGTACACTGTGGCTTTGAAAAACTAATGTCTTTCTGTCTGTGATTCAATAAGCAACAATTTTTTAACATCATACCCTAAACAGGACTTTGTAAAACTTATCAAATTGAGCATGTATGAGAGATCCTCTGGGAGTCTATAAGGGTTGCGTCTATTCCTGTTCTCACTTGGATGTCTGAGGAAATCTAATGGTAAATGAATTTAGGATATAACACTGAAGCATTAAAGTTGCCCTGTGGAGTTTCCGATTACATTCACTGTCATTGTGTGCATCCTTAAAGCTATGACAAAAGCACTGAACCAGGCTGTCCTCATGCACTGGTTGCATGTTTTCTCTATGAAAAATAATGCATCAAAATTATACTTATCACATGTAATCACGAGTCAGTAATTTGTATTAACCCATGAATTTTGGAAGGCTGGGATCGGTGACCAATGCACTGACGGGAGTAGAGAATAAAGAAGTAAGTGGTCTCGTAAGGAGGAAGATTGGGGTGGTTGATAGGTCACAAAACACAGAACTTTCCCTTGGAGACCACTGTTCAGAACTGTGTGAACTTTGAGTCATTTGTCATCACCATGTTACATCCATTTATCCATTTTCAGCCACTTAACCGAGGCCGGGTCGTGGGAGCAGCAGGCCAAGCAAAGCACCCCAGACGTCCCTCTCCCCAGCAACGCTTTCCAGCTCCTCCTGGGGGACCCCGAAGTGTATCCAGGCCAGATGAGATATGTAATCCCTCTAGCATGTTCTGGGCCTGCCCCAGGGCCTTCTACCAGTGGGATTTGCCTGGAGCAGCTCCAACAGGACGCGCCCAGGAGGATCCTGATCAGATGCCCGAACCATCTCAACTGACCCCTTTCAATGTGAAGGAGCAGCGGCTCTACTCCGAGTTCCCTCCGGATGTCCGAGCTCCTCCCCCTATCTCTAAGGCTGAGCCCAGACACCCCACGGAGGAAACTCATGTCAGCTTCTTGTATCCACGATATTCTTTTGTTCATTACCCAGAGTTCATGATCATAGGTGAGGGTTGGGATGTGGATAGACCAGTACATTGAAAGCTTTGCCTTCTGGCTCAGCTCACTCTTCACCATGATGGTCTGGCGCAGCGGTCCGCCCATCAGTCTCACACTCCATTTGACAATTGGTCAGAGCTTCTTTCCAGGTTGTTCTTTTGTTGTTTCTTTTCCTAAACCTCACCACAGTAACTTTACATGAAGTATACAATGTCATTCATGGGGCATATATTTGTTGCATATCATATGAACAGTTGTATGATGATATGTAGACCGAATGCAATTTTTCCCACATTAAACTAATTTGCAAAGCCCATTTTTGAAATAATGTAAATTACACATTGCTTATGTTCATTCATACTTGCTAGCAGTCCTCTTCACTGCCTTTTTTTTTGGTGCATTGCTGCACATCTTGCTGCTTTACCCCCATTTGTAGATCAGTGAAATAGTGTAAGACCATTGGCAAGAATGTCACCCATGTGCGCGTTCATGTGGGTCCCCATTCACACGCATGAGAACAAACAACATGGGGACCCACTCATAAAAACATGAATCCCTAGTGCTAATAGCTGAAAAAAACTCCATGGGTTACTTTTAAAATCAGATATTAAAGAGATTTTATATGAGGGAGTGTGGGTGAAGATCAAGAACGGATTATGGTTCTTTAAAGGCTACATCTGTATTTGTTTATTACAGGATTGAATGACTATACTTAAGATGCTGACATTTCTAACTTTTCAGGCTCAAACTGTGGTTTGAACCAAAAATGCCCTCTCACAGGAGCTCCAAGATGCTCCAAACATCATCAAAAAAAAATCCTTTTTGCCTTTCCACAATTTTTCCAGATAAACATTGTTTTGAAACATACGCATCTGCTGTACATGAAATTGAGGAACAAACTTGGAACAGAAAGTAGTCCAATGTTGAAACCGCTGGGTGGACAGTAATGTGTGAAGGCCATGATGATGCAGATGCAGAAACACAGTTGCAAAAAAAATTCGTTCCCAACTACTACATTACGAGAAGAGCCTTTTATTTTGGAGGGTTTTTCTTTTTGTTCTGCTGAAACATTTTCATGAGTTTCACACACAACACAGATGCATTGTGATACTGTCATGTAGTCCTAAATAAATTACAAATAACTGGTGTCCATGACATGAAATATATTTTGTAGTAAGACTTTAAGATGCACTTCCAACAGATTTTTTTTTTTTAGCTCTAGGGAGACTGAGATCCTTCAAAATCTCACCTGACATAACAAATTTCAAAGACACATTCTGGTGTCATTTCATGTCTCCTAATTTGTGACTTCTTGAATATAAAGTATGTTTCATTAAAGTAGATTAAGGCTTGAAGAGAGCTGCAGTAACTACCAACATGGCCGCAAACCAAACACCCTAGAAAAGACCCCAGTATTTGAAATGGTTATACAACCTCCTCTCTTTGACAGCTGTGAATATTCTCACCTTAAAGTCTTGGATGTTGACGCCCACTCTGCGTGACATGGTGAGGAAGCCCTTGAACTGGGAATGATCCAGGAGGATGTAGACAATCACTCCTCTCAGCGTTGCAGCGATGATCTCTTTGAAAATATCGACGTCAGTGAACACGTCCATCGCTATGGCAATAACCTGGAGACATAGCAAACATTTGGAAAGATGACATACGTTTGAGGAGTCAAAGTCAGGACTTTTAAAGACATTTAAGGACGCCTTTTTCTGTTGGTTTCTGACGCCGCAAGTCAGACTTCTGAGTGAGACCGAGCTCTGCAGACCTCTGTTTGAAACCAACAAACAACAAACCAGTTGTTTTGTAGGGAGTCATCACTGTTTATACAGTGACTTTAATTAGCTACCACATGTGGTAGCAGCCCATTGCTGAGTTTCCACTGAGAATAGTGCCAGAAAAAGTGATTGTTTTTTTACAGAGACATCGCTGTATTGGCGTACACTGGATGCGATAGATTTTGCGTCAAAACATCCACCATATCTTTTATAGTATCGTCACATATAGATCAAAAGGATCAAAAACAGACTTGACGTTGGACAACATCAACATACAGACTACCAACCATCACTGATAAAAATACCAAATGAAATACGAAATTATTCATTAAATGGATCTGTTAAATAGTTTATATATAGTTTATACAGTTGTAGGTTGCCACTGACTGTTTCACAAATGAAAATAGAAACATTGACGCAGATGGGTTTGCCTTCTCGAGGGCAGATATAGCAGATAACAGAATTAGTATTTTAACATGTTCTCCTTTGAACACAGGTGTATTTCTGAGGTGGCAAGTTGAATCACTCCCAAGGACCCGTCCTCTGCTAGAGAGAGAGCAGGCCCTCTAACCTCTCTCTACAGGCCCCTCCATCCTATGGGCCCCGGTGCAACTGCACTGCCTGCACTGTCTCTAGCCCCTTTTACACTGCCAGATTTTCCATGAATGTTGGGCCGTTTTGCCGGCAAGCTGCGAGCGTTTAGACACACAGAGCTGGATTGGCGAGTTGATCCGAGGTGCCCATTTTTTCGCCTCGTAGGGTAGACATATTGGCGGAACCTTTTTAGTTTAAAAAGAACGAGGCGGCCTTCCGCCATGGGAGGGGCTATTGATGACTTGTGGGAGGAGCTGTTGATGACGCCGCACGTGCGACCCACTGGCGGTGGATAAACAGGAAACAGCTGATAGCAGGAATTAGCCAGCAGCTAGTAGCAAGAGGGAAACGCAAACCTGACAGACACTGTAAAGATGAGCAACTGGGGAGACAAGGAACTGCGCGCCCTCCTTGTCCTCGCAAACGAAGAGGCCATTAACCGTCAGATGACGGGGACAGTGAAGGACGGGCCGACTTATGAGAGAATCACCAAAGGACTGACCAGCTGCGGCTTCCCTCCCACGTCACTGTTTACGTCTCATGCTGAGCTACACCATTGCCCCGAAAAAGGTGCATTTTGCTGCACTCCCTGACTTTGTTTTTATACTGCCAATGCTGAAAAAAGACTGATTGGGCCTTCCTACAAATTTGCACAATTCCCATCTAAAAAGGGCTTATATTAACGCCCTTGTGTTGCTGCATTTCTTGCAGAGATAGTGATGTGAAGTTATTTTTTACCAAGTTATTGTTGCATTTCTGCTGGCATAGTGTCATGAAAAGTGACTCTTACCCTGAAATAAACCCTTTTCCAGTTGGGACTGGGTATTTTAAGCTAAAGCGTGTTCTTTTCCTAATCATAACCAAGTAATTTTTGTGCCTAAACTCAACCAAGTGTTTACCACAGCATTGTTGAAACGTAAAGAAACATAAAGTTTCAATGTATCTGCTCGTATTGACATATAAACGTTAGGCTACAGGGTTCGCAGAAGCATACATGCCAGCATTTATTCTGGTGATTTGGTTAATCATGCAGAAGTTCTACCAAGTTAAAATACATTTGTAATAAATAGATAAATGAATAAAAGTTTTCCTGACTTGACAAATTCTTCACCTCAACTTCTACTGGCCACATGGAGAATGAATCTGGATGTATGAACTTATTTGAATGCATGCACAAAACTAAAACACATATTGCAAATATAATCCCGTAAAATGGATTTTAACATTTAAAATGTCCCATTTTCAAGATTTAAAGTCTTGATTTCATGATTTAAGACAATGTGAAAAAGCATTCTAGTGCTGTGGGATCATCAGACCAACAGTGAGGCTTACTTTTTTTTACTTAAATTGTTAACCGACCCTTTTTTTGTCTTTCTTTCTATGTCTTTATGAGGTAAATTATTAACACAGGACATGTTGTATCAGATAGATGTTCTGTGAAATATGAGGAGTGGTTCTCTGAGGAAACAAAAGCACAACTGAAAAACTGATTTATGGTGTTTTGATGATCAGACTGGATTTTACAAACTGTTACACTGAACAGTGGCACATGCAGCAGCTACACCGTGTGCATTTCATCAGTCATTTTCAGTTGGTGGATATCTGAGGAATACAAGTCCATTTCCTGCACACTCACAATGACACACACACACACACACACACACACACACGCCCCGCTGTAAATGGTGAATTATTAGTTTCAGCTCAGGAGACAGCGAGCCGGTCGTTGTCGCAACGTGTGGAGCTGAACATCGAGAACATTCAAGTTGAGACACGTTGGCTGGTTAATGCCATGTGTCTGAAGGTGAAACATGGCCTTCATTGGAACCTTTTCGATGAGGAAGTCATTTCACAGTTGGCGAATTCACTTTTTTTTGTCTTGTAATATAGTTTAAATGTTAAGACGTATGTACCTTGAGCTGTGGCAACATGTTTTATCATTTATTCTTGTAAAAGGAGTAATGACTAATAATTGGCCTCAGGTGCTCAGTTCTTTTTCTGCGAGTCAGTGTTCTGCCAGCTAAGAGTCATTGTTGTAACTTTAGTAGCTGCTGGATACAGGTTTTCTGCATCAGCTGACAGTTGCTGCTCAGTTTTTTGTAATCGTTACAACAGATGAATATTTATTATTTTGCCAAAATATGCTGTCCAAAAAACTGGGGCCGGGTCCTCTCCAAATATTATTTGGATATTGTGCAATGAGACTCTATACCGACTTAGATTTTGGATATTGTAATAGTGTAAGTGTTGTCTTCTCCTGGTGTTAAAGGCTGCATCACAATAAAGTGCTGAATTTTTTTAACTTACCAAACTGTTCTAGTTGTTCTATTGTATCCACATTTCTGATGATTATTATTTTTAAAAAATCTTATAGTGGAAATATTTTGTGAACGTACCAATTGTCAACCCTACAATATTTTCTCACAACGTATCCTCATGTAACAGTTCATATGTTATCTAATGAATTAGTGTCTCACAAATGGTGTGATCCGTGGCTCCTCTAGTCTGCATGTCGAAGTGTCCTTTGGTATGACACTGAACCCTAAATTGCTCCTGATGGCTTATTTTATAGGTGTGTAAATGTGTGAATGATTGCTGAGTAGCAGTTGGCACCATGTATGGTAGCCTCGGCCACCAGTGTGTGAATGTGTGTGTGATTGGTGACTCGTAGTGTAAAAGTGCTTTGAGTGGTCAGAACACTAGAAAAGTGCGATACAAGTGCAGGTCCATTTGCTCTACAGAATTCAAAATGTCACTCAAACGAAGCTCAGTTCAATCAGGAAAACTTTCTTCATGTTATATCCATTCACAATTCTCTCTATCCCACTCTCACCACTTCCACCAATCAGCTGACTATAGGTGTTCCCTCTTCCTGTCAAACTTTGCCATGATCTCCATCAGCCATTCGTGTTGCTGCTGCCAAACATTTAATCTGTTCTCCTCTCTGCTCCTGTCAGCTGTTATTTGAGGTGGAATCATGGCATCATCCTCAACACCATTCACCTCCAGTCACCTAATCCAGAACCCAGGATGAGCTCATCAAAAGCCCACTCCTCCTCACATCCAGATCTTCATCTCCCTCTTCATCTCATCACCACCACCACCACCATCGTCTACTAGTTAGTTAGTTTCCATTTTTACGCAGATGACACACAGCTTTATTTCTCTTTCGACCCTACCATCAACCAGCAACTAAACACTCTCCAGGTACGCCTAAATGAAGTACAAATCTGGCTGTCTAATAATTTCCTTCAATTGAACCCAGACAAATCCGCAGTCATTATCATAGGCCCAGCCACCACACACAATCACATCTCACCACAACTTGGCTTATTCTTCACCAGCATCAACCCCAGCTGCAGAAATCTTGGTGTCATTTTTGATAGTAATCTCAACTTTAATCAGCATGTTAAAACAACTGTCCAGTCTTGTTTCATCCAACTACGCAGAATCTCCAAAATCCGGTCCTTTCTGTCTCCCAAGAGCCTGGAAATTGTCATTCATGCATTCATCACATCCCGTTTAGATTACTGTGACTCGATCTACTCCTGCCTAAGTAAACATAATCTTTCCAGACTTCAGCTTATTCAAAATTCTGCCACCAGACTCCTCACAAATTCAAACAAAAGAGTACACATAACCCCGATTTTAGCTTCATTACACTGGCTACCTGTGCATTTTAGAATTGATTTTAAGATTTTAATGATCACTTTTAAGGCCCGGATGGGACTGGCCCCTCAGTACATCAAAGACTGCTTAGTCCCATATGAGCCAAGGCGTAGGCTGAGATCCTCCGGTGGGTCCCTATTAGAGATTCCAAGATCTAGATTGAAAACCAAGGGCGACCGGGCCCTTGCTATCAGGGCCCCGTTGCTCTGGAACGTTCTGCCGGAGGAGATCAGGTGAGCCACATCTCTGTCCTCTTTTAAATCTCTTTTAAAAACACACTTTTTTAAATGTGCTTTTACTTAATTGCTGTTGTCATCTAATAATGTACTCTAATAATGTCTAATGTTTTCTATTTTCTAATGTTTTATTGTTTTTTATGTTCTTGTAATGTTTTTATATTATTGTCATTTTATTGGATTCTGCGTTTTTATTCTGCTGTTGTAAAGCACCTTGTAACTTTATTTGGAAAGGTGCTTTACAAATAAAGCTTATTATTATTATTATTATTATTATTATTATTATTATTACTACTACGTCTTAACCACCCTCCTGGAATACATGAGGTCTAATCGCCTAAGACTTTT